AAAACAAAGAAAAAAATAGCAAACTTGTTCAAAATTGTTCAGGTGTTTTATAATATGTGTGAATAAGGAACTTGTCTTTATACCAAATTGAAGGATTTTTGTTCTCTACCTTAAAAAAAGAACACTTTAAATTTTAAAATGGAAAAAAATGTGCTATTACTGTACTTTTTCTTTTTTATTTAAAAAAGTCCATGTATAATAGGGATGCATAAACACTTCATTTTATTTCAGTTAAATTCGGTTTAAAGTAACAGATTATAATAAAAAATGTTTTCGAACATTGGTGTTAATTTTCTTTATTCGGACCCCATAATTTTTAAATGGTCACCCCTCCCCTGTTTCTATATCTTATAAAAAAGTTTAATAATATGTAGAAAACATGTTTTTGTTTATTCAGTCAGTAATTAATACATCTGGAATAATAAATGTTGAAATATAATATACAGCATAATGTGCAAAGAATATTTAGCCCTTCGTCTTTCCTTCTTCCTGGATGGGAGACGAAAAGTCATCAAACTTGGAAAAAAAGTCTGGTGGACTGATTTTAACTTTTTTGGAATTAGCCCTTCGTCTTATGGAAACATCATCTTTATGCACAAGAAAACTGCATCTTATTATTTAATCCTTGGATGATGAGATCAATCAACTTTAGATTTGCTTATTTAAACTAAATCAAACCTTTTAATTGCTTGTTTTATTGCTGTGCATGTTTTTTTTTTATGTATTTTATAAAAAAAAAAGGTCTCTTCTAAATAAGATCTTGGAACTCAATGAAAAAACATGCAAAAATAAAGGCTGAAGTTAAAAAATACATTAATGCAATAATTGATAACTTGCATCCCTATTAGAGAAAGGTTTTCCTAACATGAACATGAAGAATAAACTGCTGGCCAGGTCTGCCTCCAGGGAGTTTTTATTTAAAAAAAGCATTTCTATATTCTGCAAACAAGGGAAAACACTTATTGTATAAACGTAGCCTGGAGAGGCGGTTTATTTTTCTACAAATGGTGCCTAAATAAAATAATCTGATAAATAACAAGTGGAGTAATCAATGAATTGATGCCAAAGTTTGAATAGAAGAATCTTTAGGAAAAAAGATGAAGAAATCCAGTATTTCCCGTATACAGTATTTGAATCTAAACACATTAATAAGATTCACTACTTTTCCAGAGTTTAAGTGGATCTTGCTGATTATCCATCCGGTTTAAATGTTTAAATCTCAGACAAAAGTTCAACATTTCTTCAGTTTATAAACTTCCTCCGTAACTGAAGGAGGATTTACCTTTTTATTGTGATCATGAAGCTGCTGCTGCAGGTTTATTCTGCTTTATCTCATCACACTGAAGCTAACAGCTGTCGCAGCTAACGTTTCTAAAGCAGCTAACGTTCACATTAATAAGATATTATAAATCATATATGACGTTTTCAAAACATATAAATGTATATTTTACAATAATCATCAATATTTAGCATATTGTGTACTTTTACAAAAGTCTCTTACCTTTGAAAAATACTTTATTCCGCTAAGAATCACGGTTGCTAATGGAAACAACCGTTCATGTCGTTAAGGTACAAGAACGCATGCGCAGAACGAAAAGCCTTGTGGGAAATGTGGTCTTTCTTAAATTTACCAGCTCATAGCCTTCGTCTCCTGGTTTTATAGTTTTATTTGATCCGATAAGGCTGATTAATAGAGATTGTTTAATAGAGATATTAAATTATCTTAAGCTCTTAAATTAAAGAAGAATATGAATGAATAAGTAGGAAAACTTTGCCTGACTGTGCAAAGGGCTTGTTTGCAGTGGTGTCAAAAGTACACATATTTGTTACTTAAGTAGAAGTATAGATACTGCAGTTTAAAAACACTATGGTATCAACTTGACGTCTTTACTCAAGTAAAAGTGAAAAAGTATCTACTCCAAAAACTACTTAAAGTATAAAAGTATAAAGTA